AAAAAAAAAAAATATATATATATATATATATATAAAACATCATGACAGGCTAAATAGGAAAACCATGGGGAAATATTATTTTAGTATTAGCCATGTTACATAATGGCATATTAAGTGACACTAATTTGCACCAAAAATTCATAAAAGCAACAAAATACATATTTCTCCTACATTTATCTTTTGTTTTCATCCCTTTAAAACTTGATACATCTATTTATCTATATTAACTATGCATAGTTGTATGTTTAATTTTCATGTAAATAAAATATGATGATGATTATTATTGATTTTTTCATTTAAAGTTATTATTATTCATACTAAATTTCTGCATGATGTCTAGCTTTTGAGGATCTTTTGGTCTACTTTGTCAGGCAGGTCCTATTTAAGAGATTTCTTGATTGCGAACAGGTGTGGCAGTAATCAGGCCTGGGTGTGGCTAGAGAAATTTTACTCAGGTGTGATAAACCACAGTTTTAACAGGGGGGCAAACACTTCTTCACACAGGGCCATGTAGTTTTGGATTTTGTTTTCCCGTAATAATAATCATTTAAAAACTGCATGTTGTGTTTACTTGTGTTATCTTTGACTAATATTTAAATTAGTTTGATGATCTGAAACATTAAAGTGTGACAAACATGCAAAAAAAATAAGAAATCAGGAAGGGGGCCAACACTTTTTCACACCACTGTACATCTTCAATTCAGAATTGAAGTTCTATGGTGTATTCCTTTGCATATGCGAGGTGAATGTTAATAATATGCTATAAATTTGTGCTCTTTTTTTTATTTATTATTTGCAGATGGCCATCACATATGGGAAATGGAGGCCAAAGTCAACAGAGAATCATCCAAATCTGTAAGTCTCCCATTTTTCACCATTTAGTTTTACACCAAAAAAGGAAGCAAGATGAAATCCTGACAAATATCTTAATTAAATAAATTTTTTGTTGTATTGTTGTGTTTGAGGCAAACAGGTTGTTTTTTGTGTGTCTAAAGCAGATATAATGTATGAGTTGAGCCCTACTCGCTGCTCTCGGGAGGAAACACACACACACACACACACACACACACAAACACGCACAACACTCGCACATGCAAACCTTCTCCTTGTTTTCTCCATGGAAGATTCTTTCTGTGAGAGCTCAGGGACCACAGTTTAGACTCTGGGATTAGACAGTGTTTGTGTGTGAATCACTGCACCTGCTCCCCACACCACACACACTTGTTAGGTAGCACATGTCTGTCTGTAGAGCTCAGACTGTTGGAAGAGACCCATTCTAAAGGTCTTAACCATCAGTGTCCAGCTAAGAAACATAGACTTAGTTCAAATAAAGTTCCGGAATGTGATCGAATATTTTATTCAAAGGCAAAAGCACCAGCTATTTAGCATTTTATTTGCGTAGTGACTCTTTAATTGCTTCTCGGCAGAACTTTCAAATGCAAGTTTGGGTCCCACTATCAGAAAATGAGCTAGCTAAAATTCCTTCAAATTTATGGCAACATTTTATTAGCTTCTGTCTGAGCACATGTGTTCATTATAAAATGAAGAGAGCTCTATGGCTGTCATATTTTTTTAGGATGAATTCATGTTTGTTTTTTCCCTGCTTGAGCCAAAAGCTCCCTGAAAGCTAGCCTTTGTCTGGTGTCTCTTGGTTCATAACTTTATGAGAGCCTCCACGCCTGGTTTCAATGCTCAGCGAGTGAATGGGGACCATCTGTTTGAATGGAGCATTAATGTGTTAGACAATTTTTTACAAGGACGCCTTTGATTTCTACCCCTCCCTGCCCTGCTGTGTGTGTATATGTATATTTATTTAATGTGAACCATTTTCTCACACAGTCTAAACCACATGGCTCTTTTAGTTTGGTAAGCTGGCTTGTGTCAGCGGCCCTTTTTTTAAGTTTTGGAGGGATTTGTTTGTCTTTTCACAATCGGCACATTCATCTAAAAATGAAACAAAAAAAAACAGAAGATTAAGCATGATCTTCTTTAAAGTCACAATACTTTTTCATATAAACACCAACATTTGAAATTTGTTGCTAGAATGTGGTGTGTGTAAATCAGAGGAATACTATTCAGTTGGTGGCTCCAGAAAATTCATAAAGAAAATGGCCTTAAAGGGGTCATATGATGTTGCTAAAAAGAACATTATTTGGTGTAATGAAATGTGTTTATGCAGTTTAAGGTTAAAAAAACACATTATTTTCCACATACTGTACATTATTGTTTCTCCTCTATGCCCCGCCTTTCTGAAACGTGTCAATTTTTACAAAGCTCATCGGTCTGAAAAGCGAGGTGTGCTCTGATTGGCCAGCTATCCAGTGCGTTGTGATTGGCCGAATACCTCAAGCATGTGATGGAAATGTTACGCCCCTTACCATACTGTGATGCCTTGTCCCAGCCGGAGTGATGAGACAAAAACATTAAAACCCATTATAAACTAGACATTTGTTGCATCCAGTGGGGACATAATTACATAAAACCATGTCTGCATTTGTGATCGGAGAAATGACAAACAACAAGCGCTACTCTACACATTTGGGCGGCGTTATGCAAATCTTCCCACATCGTGACGTAGACACGTAGGGGCGTGTTAGAATGAGCCGTTTTAGGTAAGCGTGGTTGACTCTTAACTTTTATAAAGAATGTCTCTTTGGAATTGAGACTTTAGTCTTTGCAACTTTACAGATCTTCTTTATCTAACACTCCAAAGAGAAAGGAAAAATTTAAATCACATCATATGACCTCTTTAATCATTTTTTTAAATGTTTTTTCATTTGCTTCTGATCTCCTAAATAGCACTGTGTATTCAGTGTGGTCAAACATACAGTAAAATGGTAATATTGTGAAATAGAATTATTACAATTTAATAACTGTTTTCTGTTTTATTATATTTTAAAATGTCATTTAATCCTGTGTTGGCAAAACTGAATTTTCAGCATCATTACTCCAGTCTTCAGTGTCACATGATCCTTCAGAAATCATTCTAATATGCTGATTTGTTGCTCAAGAAATATTTCTTATCATTACCAATGTTTAAAACGGTTGTGCTGCTCAATAGTTTTGTGGAAAGAGTTATATATTTTTTTCAGGATTCTTTAATGAATAGAAAGTTCAAAAGAACAGTATGTATTGTCATTAACAGTGTAAAAGTCTTTACTGTCACTTTTGATCAATTTAATGCATCCTTGCTGAATAAACAATACATAGTCCTACTGACCCCAAACTTTTAAATAGTAGAATACATGTGCATTAACTGAACCAGCCTAAAAAATAGTTTTCAGCATGATTTAAGATAAAGACAAAAGATAAAAACTTAAAAGATTTAACACAAAGATAAAACATGATTTTGAGATTTTATTACTATTTTGTAGCATGAAATGTCATGTTTGTCGCAGTTTTGGAGATTTCAGTCTTTCTCAATTGAAGTAGATAAGAACTGCAGGCGTATAACCAAAATAGCTTCTTTTGTGCGTAACCAAGTTGAGGCTGCCAAATTACCTAAGTCACCTTAATTTTGTACAGTGAATATGCTGTTTCACTCAGAAATGCGTCACATTACAAAAGGAAAATGAGTTGTGAAAGACAGTTCATGTTGGATTTATAGGTACATGGGTGTGTTGTTGCTATTTTAACACATTTAAGTATTTTTTACTTGGGTAAATCAGAATTTTGTTGGAGTTTGCTGTGGGCCAAGGGTCCTAAGCACAGCTGCAGATCAGACTAATGGATGAAATTCTCTCTAACACATTGTGCTTGGTCTGGCATTGCTCTGCGGCTAAGACGATGTGCTAATATAAATAGTCGGGGAGCTCACCTGCACATGGTTCTAAAACCTGCAAGAAGACTGATGACTTCCTCTCTGGCTACTGGACAGCACCTCCATCAATCTCCTCTCAGCCACACAGGGTTCATCTCAGGGTGGAGGAAAAGAGGTTGAGGGAGATAGACAGTTTGACACTAGCAGCACCTTTCTCATACTGTAGTTATAATCGCAGACGGCTCAGCGGTCAAAAGTTCAGTGGTGTCTGGAGACAGAGAGGGGAGAAGCGCGGGGGAAATAAACTGTCTGGACGGAGTCCCCGGACACACTCTCATTCAGGGTGAGAAGCGCAAAAATAACACCGTCTGCTGCATGCAGTTTGGTTTGTCTGAACCTCATCTGCCCTGAGCTCACAAAGCCACAATCGCTGGATGCTTGTGCGGCTGTTGGATGGAGCACATGGTGTGAGATTGAATAATGGAGGCAGTGTTGTTAAGGCTTTTGTTATCTTGAAACTCTTTATTCATTCAAATGCCTGATGAAACCATTCCAACTGATTGTGTTAAAATACCTTCTATTTTCTACGCTTATTATTCAGGACTACTAGAAGTAACTCACCCAGTGGCTCTGTGGTGTTATAAAAACATTGTTCTGTTTGTTTGAGCATCCTGACCAGCCCAGCACATCAACATTTATTTGGACAGAGGAACGCTGGTACCCCAATGAAGGTCCCCCCCCCCATTTCTGTCACCTGATGGAGTTTGGGTTCCTTACCACTGACTTACTTAGTTGAGGTTCGAAAGACACTTAATATTCTGTCATTTTATCAGTTTGACAGCAGTGACGCTACTTGATGATAACTTGATTTGAATTAAGCGGAATAATGTCACTATATTGTTTAGGTGCTTGTTAGCGGAATCGAATTTGTGCATAATTGACAAATTTCACAACATCGACACTGTTATTAAAATTAATTGAATCAACATTGAACTCACTTGAGCTGAATAACGACACTACTGTCTTCGGTTGAGCTGCTTATCGCTGAATTGAACTTGTTTCATAACTGATGAACTTTTCACAGTTATTGAACTGAACTGAATCAACACTGAACTGAAAATGACACTATTGTCTTCGGTAGAGCTACTTTGGTTGAGCTGCTTATCGCTGAATCGAACTTGTTCATAATTGATTAACTTTACACAGTTATTCAACAGAACTGATTAAACACTGAACTGACTAGTGCTAAATAATGACACTATCATTTTGTTAAAGCTGTATAAATAAAGGTGACTTGACTTGACACTGGCTCAACCGATTCTATTTCAGTTCATATTTTGCATTTCAGGTGGCTTTGCTTGTGGACGTCCCACCGTACCGGAATCAAAGAATATCCAGTCCAGTTCAAGTGAATTTCTATGTGTGCAATGGCAAACGGAAGAGAAGCCAGTACCAGCGTTTCACATACCTGCCCACAAACGGTAAAATATCACCTCCTTCTACTTTAATTCTAACACACTCCTTTATTTCCAATCTGTGACTGAAGAAATTCTGAAGCCTTTTTAGTGGATGGAATTGTTGTTAGTTTTTCTTTGTTAAAATCATTTCCATAAAATGTGTTCTTTTCCATACCTGCTGCGGGAGCAGTGGAAGGGCAGTGACAGGGTGGGGTTCAGTATGTGAATGCAATTATTCAAATCCAGACTGGTTGCCAGGTGAAAAAAAAAAAAAAAAAAGACTTGACATCTGAAAAGTCCTAACCACTGCAAATTCCCTCAGGCCCAGTGTGCGTAACCAGTGGGTGGTTCAAAGGCTTGAGTCAGACCCAGCTTGTCCCAGCCCTGTCTCCTGAAGTGTGGGCACTGCAACTACAGGCCGTCCCACTCACACTGCAGTACTGTCTTTTTTTAGACTGGACACTATAAAGATGATGCAGTGTATATGTCCAGCATATTTTATTATAATGTGGGTGGAACAATGAAACATTTAGCTAAACATTATCTTTTTAGGGCAGTCTTCAGGTTGTGGCCAAGGACCCCTAAAATAATTAGTGTTATTATTATTTTTAATAATTAATTATTGAATAATTAAGTAATAATTGAATTATTAATTTAAATTAATAATAAAATATAAATAATATTAATAATAATAATAATAATTATTATTATTATTATTGTTATTTAAATGCGCCTGGAAGAAAAGTGTTAAAAATCTGAATAATCTGGCTTTTGAGGTTAAACATGAGGCGTAGTGACAGATATCTGCCTGTCTCTATAGTCATGTGCTAGAAGCCTCATTTCCCCTTTCTGGGCTTAAAATAGGTGTCTAGGCTCTATTTTAAACTTGTGGTCAGTCTGGGTGGCAAAGAGAGTTCCCGTTTTTCTCTGTATTGTTGACAGAATGCAAAATAAAACTTTAGGACTTCTGTGGAGGCATGTTGCCCGCGTAATCTTATAGGATATATATATAGGATATATATATATATATAACCTATATAAATATATATATTTAGGTTATATAGGCTTTATATATATATATTTTTTTTTTTTAGGCCAATAGGCTTATATTTATGTCACTATGTTGTTTAAGTCACAAAGTCTCTTTTGCTACTGTGTGTCAATAATGGGCAGCCTTACTGCTAGTTTGAACTCAATACACTGAATATCTTTTTATCTGTTTTTAATCCAGTCTCAGTCCAATTCTTAGCCCAGTTGCAATTTGGCTCCTTTAAACCAGAGATCCCATCTTAAAATGACAACCTGAATCTTCTACTGAGAGAAAAATTTAGATTTTTTTTTTTGGTTGAGCTATGGATGTGAAGCAGTAGCAGTAAAATATTTCATAATGCACGCTTATATGGTATTAGCACTGGGGGCAGAGCCAAAAAAAATAGGCCTTTTATTTTCGAAAGCAGCTGGAAGGCTCTTGTGGTGATGATTCATCCCTTTTTTCCCTCTTTCTTTAAATATTTTCAATTGGGCGGGAGCGCGTAGCCTCAGACACATAGTCTCATTGATGAGAATGTTTGTTTCGCTGTGGGTATCCTAGCCACAAACCCACTCACTCATGCTAGCTCGCATAAAGTCACATGAACCCAGAACGTGTGTTTATTCGTTTTTCTCCTTTCCCCCGTTTTCTTCATCTGATCTTTCTCTTTGCTCTCTTTTCCCCTTCGCCTTCCCAGTTCCAACCATAAAAACAGAGCCGCACGATGACTACGACCTCCCCCAGGTTTGTGCGCCGCTCCATTCCGCCGGGTTGGTGCTTCATCCGAAGCCCTACTACAGCCCCCCGGCAATGACCCCCATGATGCCCTCAGAACTAAGGCCTTGTGTCATGGGCTCATTCACATCGAGCCCTCAGAGACTGGTGGCAAAGCCCACCTCCCTGTCCTGCTCTTCCTCCCCCAGCACCAGCCCCAAACTACAGGATCTTTCCCCACCTCACCTCTCCACTAAGTGTATATCAGCAGGATCGAACCTAGGCCCCCAGTCTCCAACGAGCACCATTTGCATACTCGTTTAACCTGGCAAACTTAGGCAAATCCAGTGAATATTTTATCCTTGTAAACACAACTTTTTTACCCCAGGCCTACTGATTAAAAACCATGCGTGCCCTGACTCTGGGACATTGTGTAATGTCAGCCAGTCAGATTAGAACTTGCCAAACTGAGAAAGTATTGTCCAGTTTTGCCTGTAATATGCATCAGGCGGTCTCTGGCTGGTTTGTGGGTGTACTGACACTGAGACTAATGGCTCTCTAGTGTATTCGCAGAGGCCCAAACATTATTGGTAATGAAAAGATCTGCTAAAACATCACATGGTGCTTCAAGCCCAACAGGAGGTCTCTTTCCAGCAATGCCATTAAGTTTGTATCATGGGGATATACAAATAATCTGGACGCTTTTCAACACTATTGAACATATGATGGGCCATCAGCATTTCTTAAACCTTTGAGTATCTTCCTTCCTTCAGCCCTAATTTAGTGAGAGAAATTGTCTTGAATCATTCTGCTAGTGATCTAAGTTCTCTTCTTGGAGTTTAAAGAAGATGTCGGATAGCGGATTACAGATGCCATAGTGGTTTCCTTAAGTTCCAGAAGAGGCTTAGGTCTTCATTCGTTTGAGCGGTTGAAATATAGTCCATACCACTCAAACTAAGCGGAAACATGGACAAGTAGTTATGCATGGAGTGAGAGCGGGATTTTTTATGGGTTTGCTTTTTAAAATTATTACCTGTCATTTCTCCCCTGGCAAAATATAACACATTTTACCAAGCGCTAACACGGCTACCCGTGTCATTATACGTTCGGGTTGCATTTCTTCTAGATTGTAGCTGTAATGGACTCTGTCAGGTGTGGCATTCGCTGAGCTTGTCGACCACTCTCATTAATTTTATTTGAAACAGAGGCACTTTTCTACAGGCACAAAACCGTCGTCCATCATGCACAGCTGTCGGTCTATCTAGTATTGAGGTTTTCTGTTGCTTTAGCTGTCTTATTATCATTGAAGATGTTCTTACTTCTTATTATATACTTGAATAAGCTGTCAGGTGTGATGAAGGTACTTTCAAACTTCACAACCAACCGCTTAACCAATCCTTCAGTCTTCATTTACTGCCCACTGTTTCCTCTGATACGTTCCTTCTGTTGTTTTCCTTTGCTTCTTGAGGAGGGGTAACAAACCCTTTTACTCATGGAAACTCTTACAAAAGCTGGCTGCGAGCCTGGCTCCTGGCCTTCACCAGCCGTAAGCTTTGAGGGGCCTCACTGCAATAAAGCACACTGACTTGGCCACTGCCAACGCAAGCCTGTGGCTTGAGCTCTGCCAGGAAGAGTGATCCAGCTCGACCCAAGCCAAAGCAGTAGACCCTGCAGTAAAGGAGGGGGTCACTACGGGAACCGCTCCACACCACGTGACTCCAAGAGCAGGGTTCCCCATAAGAAACCACAACAAACTTTCCAATTTAGCCTGTGGGGCTGTTAAAGGGGTCATCGGATGCAAAATTCACTTTTGTTGTTGTTTGAACATAAATGTGTTATAATGATAAAAATCCACCCAGTGTTTTTTTTTTTAATCCCCATTTTAAAATCCCCTTTCTCAAATCAGGCCGTTCTGAGATTCATGTCAGAATGATGTAGTTCTGCACAGGCCCCTCCCACGATAGTTGATTGACAAGGCCATCTTACCTTAGACCCACCCTGAGTGAGCTGTCATCAGTGTGTCGATTCCAGTGCAGGGGAAAACAAGAACATCTCCGATTAAGCAATTGAGGTGTTTTGTTGTTGGATGTAATAATGAACATAGCAGTCGTCATTTTCTGGTTTGTGGGTGTACTGACACTGAGACTAATGGCTCTCTAGTGTATTCGCAGAGGCCCAAACATTATTGGTAATGAAAAGATCTGCTAAAACATCACATGGTGCTTCAAGCCCAACAGGAGGTCTCTTTCCAGCAATGCCATTAAGTTTGTATCATGGGGATATACAAATAATCTGGACGCTTTTCAACACTATTGAACATATGATGGGCCATCAGCATTTCTTAAACCTTTGAGTATCTTCCTTCCTTCAGCCCTAATTTAGTGAGAGAAATTGTCTTGAATCATTCTGCTAGTGATCTAAGTTCTCTTCTTGGAGTTTAAAGAAGATGTCGGATAGCGGATTACAGATGCCATAGTGGTTTCCTTAAGTTCCAGAAGAGGCTTAGGTCTTCATTCGTTTGAGCGGTTGAAATATAGTCCATACCACTCAAACTAAGCGGAAACATGGACAAGTAGTTATGCATGGAGTGAGAGCGGGATTTTTTATGGGTTTGCTTTTTAAAATTATTACCTGTCATTTCTCCCCTGGCAAAATATAACACATTTTACCAAGCGCTAACACGGCTACCCGTGTCATTATACGTTCGGGTTGCATTTCTTCTAGATTGTAGCTGTAATGGACTCTGTCAGGTGTGGCATTCGCTGAGCTTGTCGACCACTCTCATTAATTTGATTTGAAACAGAGGCACTTTTCTACAGGCACAAAACCGTCGTCCATCATGCACAGCTGTCGGTCTATCTAGTATTGAGGTTTTCTGTTGCTTTAGCTGTCTTATTATCATTGAAGATGTTCTTACTTCTTATTATATACTTGAATAAGCTGTCGGGTGTGATGAAGGTACTTTCAAACTTCACAACCAACCGCTTAACCAATCCTTCAGTCTTCATTTACTGCCCACTGTTTCCTCTGATACGTTCCTTCTGTTGTTTTCCTTTGCTTCTTGAGGAGGGGTAACAAACCCTTTTACTCATGGAAACTCTTACAAAAGCTGGCTGCGAGCCTGGCTCCTGGCCTTCACCAGCCGTAAGCTTTGAGGGGCCTCACTGCAATAAAGCACACTGACTTGGCCACTGCCAACGCAAGCCTGTGGCTTGAGCTCTGCCAGGAAGAGTGATCCAGCTCGACCCAAGCCAAAGCAGTAGACCCTGCAGTAAAGGAGGGGGTCACTACGGGAACCGCTCCACACCACGTGACTCCAAGAGCAGGGTTCCCCATAAGAAACCACAACAAACTTTCCAATTTAGCCTGTGGGGCTGTTAAAGGGGTCATCGGATGCAAAATTCACTTTTGTTGTTGTTTGAACATAAATGTGTTATAATGATAAAAATCCACCCAGTGTTTTTTTTTTTAATCCCCATTTTAAAATCCCCTTTCTCAAATCAGGCCGTTCTGAGATTCATGTCAGAATGATGTAGTTCTGCACAGGCCCCTCCCACGATAGTTGATTGACAAGGCCATCTTACCTTAGACCCACCCTGAGTGAGCTGTCATCAGTGTGTCGATTCCAGTGCAGGGGAAAACAAGAACATCTCCGATTAAGCAATTGAGGTGTTTTGTTGTTGGATGTAATAATGAACATAGCAGTCGTCATTTTCTCCCGACATCTGAGCCGCTGAAGACGCAGAGGATTAACATTACTTTCGATTTGAAGGGAATGTGGCGATCCCCGATCTGCCTAAATGCGTCTATGTTTGCACGAATCATTCGTGATCAAGCTTCATCTACACAAGAAGTGAGTATAAGGTTTTTTATGTATCTTTGCAAATCGCCTTTCCTAATATGTGCTAGTTAGCAAGTTTCGCGGCTAAAGTAAACCGTACTGCTCGTCACCCACAGAAGAGAGGGGCGGTGTAAGCAGACCTCATTAGCATTTAAAGCAAGATGGACTAGAATTGCTTGCTAAAAACAGAGCTCATTTTGACAGGGTAAAAAATGTTTTTTACACTACCATTGAGAAATTTTAACCAAAGTATGTTATAGACTTTTCATTAAGACCCTAAAGAATCATATCAGTTATATCAAATGGGCATCCGATGACCCCTTTAAGAAATGCATGTAGGAGTGGTGAGCAGTTTGAACGTTTAGAGCATTGAGCAAGTACAGTGATGACTTGTGAAATATATTTATGCAACATGGTGAGTTTAGAATAATTGTGTTGTTTAGCCAATACACTCTTCGTTTATGACCATAAATAGTGGAAATGTTTTTCGAAACTAAAAAGCACTGTAAACTTTAGTCCTGTTTATGAAATATGAAAGTATTTTTCATGTTGTTCTAAGACATTTTAAGGTTTTTAGCAGTTTTTGCCAATTCAGTGACGGTCAGTGGGGTCCAAAACAATACTGGACCCAATAGATTTTTTTTCTTTTCTGTTTCACAAAAGTAAATGATGACAGAATTTTTGGGTGAACTAACTATCCCTTTAAATAATCTAATTTGGTGGGTGCTTACGTAAGTGTTAGAGCGGACAAGATTGGCTAGACATTGGTAGACACCTCCAAGTCGATGACTAACAGTATCGTAATTTTGCTAATATTGTAGCAAAGGCCAAAAACATCTTGTGGTTTGGTACTTGGTCAAGCTAACATAGTTTCTGCGGAAGATATACCCTTGTGAGTCAATTATGTTGCCGGTCATTGCGTAGATGAAAAATCCCAGTGTGATTGTGATCCTGACCCCGGGGTCTGTTTTTCTTGTCTTCTGCTGATTAAAACAGTTAGGACTTCTGGGTGTTTTGGTGCTTACGGACTCCTTAATGAGACTAACAGCATTGGTAGAATAATTGTTTGGTAGTTCCTTGTTCCCCCATTGTTTCCTGAAGGTAGAGAGCGGGCCAGGTCTCCGGCCTCTATCACACGGACCCAGCTGCCGCTTATCCTGGTCCAGCAGGAAGCAGGTTCTTGGATTACCTCACATCCACATATTCACTTCCCAGTCATAGTCACAACAGCAATCCCAGAGATATGAGACCTTTATATCAAAGTTCAAGAGGTGCATTTGTCAAAATAAATAGTATCTATACAATATATATATATATTATATATATATATATATATATATATTTGTTTATAAACTAATTGAAGGACTAAATTTCTAAATTTAGTCTTTTTATTTAAATGTCAGAATCACTGAATGGAATGGAACATCCAACTGACTCCGGATGGCTCATGCCATGCTTTCTTATGCAGGTCTGAACAGAATTG